GTTCTCCCATCCGTCCTCTGCTACATCTCTGTCCCTCTTGTCCAAGTCCAACATGTGGCCCTTGCGCGTCCCCGACGATAATCGATCTAATGGCAAGCGCACGAGGACGATGGCACGCTGCAGCTCAGTACGAGGAGATAAGACAGCTGGTTGGCCACCTTGGACTCGCGGACTCCTGGAGCAGCACCTCTCACATGGAAATTAAGATCAGTTTGCGACCTGCTATCCGGATCAGACCCCATCATCAGATCGTGTACCGGACGCAACCTGCTACTCGGACAATCAAGCTGAAGCCCTCGCAGTCTACATCACAGAACTGCTGAAGACTGCTTCCTCACCGCCACTTCTGCGACACCCACGAAGACCTTCCTCCAGACATTTTTTCGTTTTTGACACTTTGTTACAGACCTGAGACATTGTTTTCCGAGACCCCTCAGACACCCCAGCAATTAAGCATTGAACAAACAATTTTATTTTATTTTCTTAAACTTGACAACCTATAACCTTGTAGAACACCAATTGGACTGCCTACCAATTGGACTGCCTTGTTCCTTGTGGAACCTAAATAGGATACCCTGTTACTTGAGCATTGATTCACTCATCCCTGTAGAACCTCAATAGGATTACCCTGTTACTTGAGTATTGATTCCCTCATCCCTGTAGAGCCTCAATAGGATTACCCTGTTACTTGAGCATTGATTCCCTCACCCCTGTGGCACCTCAATAGGAGCACCCTGTTACTTTAGCATTGATTCCCTCATCCCTGTAGAACCTCCATAGGATTACCCTGCTACTTGCATTACTCCCCTTTTCTTTTTCTGACCAGTGATCGGCCCCGTCCCGTCCTTCACTGTTGTTCATTGGGTCTTTGGCAGCCGGGACGTTGCCTTCCAGAGGGAGGGGATAGTGTTACGGACTCAGCCAGGGCTCGATCCCTGGTCCACGGGTTACCACCCGCCAGGCTGCTATTTTATTTTCAAGTCTCTGATCTCCGGTTCCTGACTGTTGGCGCCCTCTGCAGTTGGCACCCTCTGCAGTTGGCGCTCAAATCCCTCCTCTGGCACTTTCGGATTTCGATACTTGGCGCCATCCGGCATTCTGGCGCCCAGGCCCAAACCTTCGATTTTCAGTTCAGCCCCGAGGCAAATTGCACTTCTGCCCTTGGGACAGTACTTAAGACCGGACTCAAGCTGAGTTCGGCAATTCAGTTTTCGGCCTCAGTGCTTGTGCTTCAGTGTGACTTACTGCGACATTGTGTTTGGAATCCAGGAATGCGACTTGGCAACTTTGCCACTTTGTGTCTGCGTCCGTCGAGTCGTGTTGAGTCTGCGTCCGTCGAGTCGTGCTGAGTCTGCGTCGAGTTGAGTGAGCATGTGTGTGTTCTCTCACTCTCCCTCTCTCCCAGTCTCTCTGCTCTGCCTCAGTCCCGTCACACGATAGCCAGGATTTCAGATTTGTTACATGGTTCAGTCGATCTGGGCCATGGGCCGGTAGGACCGACGATGGCCCGGATTTCAGATATGCCACGTTAGCGATTTTAATAGTGTAGGGATAATCCCACTCTAACCCACCACTCCATCGAACCCTGCACTGTTCATTTTTCTTGTCCACAAGTACGGGCCAAAATCTACAGTGCCCGGGCCCAGTAGAGGTTCGGTGGGTAAAGGGTACCACAGTTATTTTTCCTCGAGGTGGCACTGCAGATCTCAGGCGCAGGGAATGCAACATTTGCTTTGTCAGGTCCAGATGGAATGGTGGTTTAACCCCGGTTGCGGTTGAACATCAAGAACTGCCCCAGATTTTCACAAATCTATACGCATTATTATACTCTAACATATCTATCGACGAGAAGAGTGCACTTTGCAAAACATGTAACGAGCAGGCAGCATGAGGTGCACCTAAACCAGCCGTCTTTCTTTTTTAAAAGGGTGACGGCCTTGAGATATTATCATTGAACTGACCGACCCCAGGCAATCCACAATGATTTTAGTCAGTTCACCTCTATTTCAACAGTTCATGGGTGTACCAACCGAGCTAGGCCCGCCGATCTTGCCTTTCTGTGAATTCTTTCTTTTCTTTCTTGCTTTTGCCTTTCTTCATGGTTTCTCGTTTTGCTATTTTCTTTATTCTTTCAGCTCTCAATTTGCCTCTGACATTGGTCTTGTCCAGTGTGAGGTGCCCACCAGCACACTTGCATGTGGTAAAGCTGCAAAACAGATGACAGTTGAGAGGAAAAAGGGCCAGGAGAGACAGAGAAATGAAGGACAGACTAAGGGAAGACGAAGCAAAAGTAAGGAACAGAGAAATGAAGGAGAGACTAAGGAAAGACGAGAGTAAGGAATGTAAACTGCAAAGCAAGAGGGGAGAAGGGTAAGGAGTACTAAGGAGAGACAGAGAGAGGAAAGATGCAGAGAGGGTAGATGGATAAGTAAGGAGTGTGGACTCGAAATGACAACATGGGAAGTATATACAAGAAGACTAATATGTCAGTCTGTCTTCAGCAACAGAGAAGGCAGGCAAGGTAATGATGCGATGGGTGATGACATCAAAGGGCAAGGAAAAGAAGTCTTGGCTGAGTGCAACAGCTGCCACAATGGCAGGCGCCAACCATGCCCAGTCTGAGTAAATGGTCAGCTCTGCACGCCAGGACGAAGGAACAATGGGCATCACAGGGGAGCATATTCATAATCATGCCCCTGGGGTCAGACCAAAAGATGGGCATGTGATGTGCCGGTGCAGAGGGTGGGCACAGTCAGGAGAACGGTGGGCCTCTGCGCACATGGCTGCAGAAACCATGCAATGCAGTGATTCTAGCTGAGACAGTTACACCTGCAGTCAAGTCTAACAGTCTAGGTACCTGTGCAGAGGAGAAGGGCACTGATGGGAGCCCAGTTGGGCAATGTATATGGAGCCAAGGATCCACAGAGTGATGGAAAGGACTAGAATGGACAATGCAATGTCAGCAAAGCATCAACAAGCAATGTACATCCCGATACATACAAAATAGCACAATGTAGCGCAGTGGAGGACTCTAAGATATGACCTGACCTGTCTGAGACTGATGCGACATCCCATCATACCCCACACATGTGAGAGAGGGAGGAGGGACCGCATACACAGAAGAAAGTTCCTTCCTTCAACACGCTCATGGGGGAGATACCACGGATGAGAGATGGGGGGAGAGGCGAGACGAAGATGGAGGCAAGGGAGAAGACCAGGATCGCGACAGCGAAGTCCAAAAATAGTCCCTTGCCGACTGTCCAATCAATGTCTGCCACAAAAATGTCGGATCAGATCCTGGGACAAATGCCCGATGTAACCTCTGCCTGTAATCTCTCTCTCTCTCCCCTCTCTCTCCCTCTGAAGAAGAAGAAGAAGGAGGAGGAGGAGGAGGCAGGAGGAAGACGAGAGGGAGGGCGAGACGAAGAAGAAGAATACGATGTCGTCCTCCTCGCTGTCTCACCTGCAGGTAACTGCCGCCATGTACTGACTGCCGCTGGTCGCCGGCGTGGAGCGTGGCTATGGCGCCAGGTGAGTGCCGCTGCTGCAGGTATGGCCTCCGCCCCTCCACCTACCTACGCCTCTACCTCTACCTCCTAGCGCAGCGCTGGTCCAGCAGCGTGTCGCCCAAGAAGTGAGCTACTCGAACTGTGTGTCTGCTCAGCCGAGACCAGCTATATGTAGCACTGGGCCGGCTGACTGTGCCTCTGCGTTGGCCAGAAAACGTCCCGCATGGTCGGGGCCCGTACCAGGCATCCAGATCGTGCTGCTGATGCAGCAGGGCGCCAAAACGCGCCTGGCGTCCATCATCCCTGCCTCCTGGTGTACCCAGCCCAAGGCGTAGCCTTGGGGACTGCAAGTCCGAAACGACGTCTGAACATACAATGGGACAGCAAATAATAAATAAATAAATAAATGCTGTTGCAAATCCGTACCTGTGGCCTAAGGGCCGCCGTGGGCCTCCAGGGCATGTGTCTGATGGGCACGCGGCCTGGGGGCCCCTCAGCAACCGCCGAGCCCCTGAAATGGCGCCTGTGTGCAGGTGCAGCATGTAACAGGCAGAGAATGTTGATGTGTTGCCCAGCTCCAACACAAGACCCGACAAGTGCCCCACAGTATAAAAGAATGTGGAGATGGTTTGCAAAGGCAAGAAAACACCATCAATACAACATCATGGCATGAAAAGGATGGTGTCCTTGTCCCAAACATTCCAGTCGTCAGAAACTCGAACAAATGACGGATGCACCAACCAGCTGACCGGCCAACCCTGGTACCCCGACCACCCTCACTGCCTCCCCTGATTGGTTGAACAACCCCCCTGACCACCATGATCGGCTGACCAGCCGACTAGACTGACCTGTGCGACCCAACCAGCCCAACCGACCTGTCCAACCCCATCGACCAACTGACGAGGCCTGTGCTTGCGCTGTGGTCAGTACTGGTGCACTGTGGAAGAAGGGGGGGGGAGGAAGAACCCAGCAGAAGCAGCACCGTATTGTTGTGCGGCACCAGCTAGTGGTACGCGCTTCTGCACTATGGCCAGTGCTTTGCACCCTAGAAAAACGAACACAAAAACATCATGGTGGCCGTGGTGTTGCGAATATGCGAAGCGTTACTCAAATAATGGCATGGTTACGAGTGTTGCCACAAAACCAAAGGGGAAGAAAAACGTATGCCGTAATGCCGCTTCTGCACAGAAGCACTGAAAACGAAACCAAAAAAAAGAGCGCGAGAAGAAAACGAAGGCACGAGGTGCCACCACTCGCTCTCAGACTTGTACTGCAATTATGGCCAAATTAAGTCAGAAGACCCAGTGCAAGCAACACTCTAACAACTCCCAGAAACAAACCGAAAGTGGTGTCTGCTCTGATGGCAAGCGAATGCAAGCCATGACCATGGAGTCCTGTTTTTTTTGGATTAAGAACTGGAGCGAGTGGCAAGAGGAACAACGATGCAGTCATACATTGTCATTTACTCTGCTGGAGTGCCAGCGAGCTCACCTGATCAGACACTGTGGCAATCAGGAGTTGCTTCGCCGTGATGCCGCGTGCCGTGGTCGTGACTGCTATCGTCTTCACAGTCGACAGGAAGTAGTAGGACTGTTGCATGACTACCAATGGAGGCAGCAAAAACGACGATTCCACAACACTCTTGTTGTATGTTCCCAAAATCATCTTCATGACACCCATGTCCTGCAAAAAGTGATCAGAGAGGACGACCAAAAAAGAACAATTAACAACTACAGACACCACCGTAGATATCATATTATTAATCACAAATCAATGACAAAATCAATTGATTTTATACAGTATGGTGAGATATGTGAGGATTGAGTCCTCGAGAAGGGGCCTTGCCATGATGTACATGTTCTGGGCCAAGGCCCCAGCAAGCCTAGTGCCCGCCCTAAGTGAAGGCGGGCCAGCAAATCAACAAGAGCCCTCTATACAAACATTTCACAAAGTGGGGTTCATACAGTTGCAGCACGCCAGTTGGTTGGAGTGCACCGAGTCTCGAATCTCTGCAAATGTGGAGATCCCAGGGCCTCTGAGTTAGTTAGGCCCTGG